GACAGGTGGTGTTCAGAATTGCAAGCTCTCCTTTCTTCTTTCCGCTGCTTTTCTCACAAGAAATCCACGAACATTTGCTTGAATCTTCGTAGCGGCTTCAACCACCTTGGCGTTCTCCAAACTGAAAAAAAAAATTTTTGTAATTAATGTTGAATCAAACAACTAACTCTTCATCATTTGTTGAGCTCAACTCCGCTTCATCAGCTCCTACCTAAACAAACAGTAATGCATTTGATGACATATCCTCATTGAAAAATTGAAAATCTCAAGTAAACTCTTACCCTTTGTAGAAGATTATCTCTGAACTTCTGATAAACCTCCGGATTTTCCATAATGGTATTGATGCTATTTCCGTCTTTAGAATAGATGATTCTTATAATGAAACAAACATCCGGCTTACCTGAATTCTTTTCTATTTCCTCTAAAAAGAGTTTGTTGAAATTCAAAATGTTTTTAGGCTGTGCACGGATTGCTTCACGAGCAAAGAATTCCAAATATTTTGATAAATCCTTTGGCGTATTGAAGTTTCTACTCATTATCCTGCAACAATGACCTATTAATCATTATAATATTGGCAATAGACATATAAAACAAGATTGATCGATAGTTCATGCTCAACACATATATTATTCAAAATGAAACATTATTTCTACTGTTGCTGCTTGAGTGAGCTTTCCTCTCAACCGACAAATGTCCATTAGCTTTGAGATCTTTGGCAGAGATGCAGATGTTTGTGCATATCCGAGAGCCAGAGAAAGAAAGTTGTCGTTGGTATCATATGACTTGGTGATTGCTTCCTTCTATTTTTTTGCTTCTAGTGCGAGTCAAAATGAGAGAAGAATGCGGAAAACAGAATGGCATTATTGTTTATGAAAAATATTTTAGCTTTTGTCAAGTGGAAGCTTATGTGTAGGCGCCGGTGAATAAAAAGAAAACATCATTGGTTTTTCTCTTCTTTCTTTTTCTCTCTCTCTCTTCTTTTCTCTCTTTCTCTCTTTCTCTCTCTCTCTCTCTCTCTCTCTCTCTCTCTCTCTCTCCCCCCTCCTTTCTCTCCCACTTTCTCCTGTCTCT